AGGTTGTGACTTTTGTTCTTGTTCTACTGTCACTAATCAGTTCATGACTACTGTCATCAATCAGTTCATTTGATTAATAATCAGTTCATTTATCATTAATATGTTCATATTGAAGAGCCGTGGATCTGCTCTGTTCATGGCCTTTTTCAGCCTCTCCTCTTTTCCGTTGAAAACCTTTTCCAGGGCATTCATGCACTCGGAACCCGTAAATTATGCAGTACACGTCTGTGCATGGTGCGCATAATTACGCGATGCGTATTTATGCACATGGAGAGCTGAGTGACAAGATGCTTTTTTGGGCAAGCGGGCTCTTCATATGGTGTTCGAATGGACCCAGTGAGGCGGAGACTACATCTGCTTCACCCTTAACCCACCAGCGACAGCCTTAAAGGGCGAAGCCTATATGAAATAGAACATTGGTTACGTACTGTAACCCCAGATTCTATGAGTATAGGCATAGCCCTTTAAGCGTCGGGCCTCACTGGCTCCTAAATGGCTGAAGAAAAAGCTATTTGGGAGCCGATTACCCGCTCTTAACATAATTTATACGGACCGGATGGGACCCACGCAACAGGTGAGTGTGGACTCGTTTTTTCAGTGCGATGTTAGTGTTAGTGCTGTTAGTGATGCTAGTTAGTTAGTTAGATGTTAGTTAGATGTTAGTGATGCTTGACGGGATAAACCCACCAGCGACAGCCTTAAAGGGCTACGCCTATACTCAGAATCTGGGGTTACAGTACGTAACCAACGTTCTCTATCTAAGGAGTCTAGCAGACAAGTTGAATCTCGGCTTCGCTGTGGTCTCCCATCCAGAGCAAGCACAATGGCAACAGTGGAAATGAAAAACTCCCTTTTTTAACATGAAGAAACCTCCAGCAGAACCATACTCAGGACAAGCGGCCATCTGCTTTGATCGGCTGGTTTGAGAGGACAGGAAGGAGAGACAAACGAACACAGATTGGTAGGTCCAGATATAGGTCCAGGTGTCCCTGAAAGAAAAAGAAAAGAAAAAAAAAAGAAAAAATGTTAAGGATAGAAAAAAAATTACAAATACAAAACAGGTTGAGCAGAGTAAGTAAAGACAGTAGCAGAGTGAAAAAGTGTGGTCAGTTTGTCCTCCAGCAGTTTAAGCCTATAGCAGCATAACTAAAGGCTCCAGTATACTGCCGCGTATGTCCGTTCACACGTACGTATGCGTGTACGGTACGCAGAGGGTTCAGACATGATACTCCAGCGTACACCCCGAGCAGCTGCAGAGCAGCTTCACAGACAAGGGGCATTTACCTTTGGGACAAATTGAGGTCGCCGATTGGTCATTTGCTGACACGCCTACTGGATTGATTGACAGGTCGGAAAAAAAGCGAGCGCTGGCAGCCTCCGCCGCAGCGGTGTTCTGTGTTTATATGTTGTTAATTAAAAGATCTAAAAAAAATAAAAATACAGGGAGAGCTGGCTCTACAACCCACACATCAGACCAGCCCACCAGGGAATCTCCAGACCCTCCCGCAGCCACACTGGACCTGAGTTTAATTCGCTCGTGACAAATTCCTCCATTTCTCACCATTTCAGTCATGGCATCAACGGAGGAGGAAGAGATCACTGCCTCTTGGCAAAAAAACTAACGAAAACGCCAGATCAGGGATGAAGAAGGGGAATTTAATACATTGGTGTCGCATACAAAACATTCCCTCGCTGGGCAGTTTATTGTGCGACACCGCGTACGCGTATGCGGTCGTAAAAATTTGAGCTTTGCACGGACATGCCCTGAGGGGTACGCACGTACCTCTGCATACGTACGTGTGTATCTCTGCGTACGTACGTGCGTACCTCTGCGTATGGATGTACGCGGCAGTATACTGGGGGCTTTAGGGACAGCTCAGGAAATCCAAGCTGACCCTAACTATAGGGTTTAGCGAAAAGGAAAGTCTTAAGTCTAATTTTAAAACTGGATAATGTGTCAGCCTCACGGACAGAGATTGGAAGTTGGTTCTACAAGAGGAGCCTGAAAACTGAAAGATCTGCCTCCCATTCTGTTTTTGTAAATTCTAGGAACCGCAAGTAAACCTGCAGCCTGAGAGCTCAAACAGACAATATAATCATACTTGCTGAGGATGAGCTGAAGAAGAGGCTGCAGATTACATCTACTAGCATGTTTTTAATTTATTTTATGTATATTTATATTTATATTTTTATTATTATTATTGCGCTGCTCAAGGTGGCTGCATGTTGGAGCAGCTCTGTTACTTTCATTTTGAGATTTTGCTTTTGGAAACTTTAATTCCTCTTTTGCTGGATGTAAATCACATTTTTTGGATGATTGTTTCCTCTGGTATCAGATGCTGTGCAACAGGAAGGATTTTTACTGAAACTTTTTTAGTTTTGGACATTTGTTATGATGCGTAACCATGGCAACAAGGCAGTTTTCCACAACCAGGAGAAGCTGATTAACATCTCAAAAGCTCAAATAATATCTCAACTACAGCCCCAAATCTCAAATGAGTTGAAAGGATGTTCTGTGGATGCATTCTCATCTACCTGCCAGCTGTGCTCGAGTGCCTGACCACTGACATCCTGGAACTAGCAGGAAACATGGCTCATGACAGCGGAAGGACATGATCGTCCCTCGGCACCTACAGTTGACTGTCCGCAGCGACGAGGAGCTCAGCAGTCAGCTGGGAGGAGTGGCCATCGCTCTGGGAGGAGTTCTGCCCAGCATTCGGGAGGTCCTACAGCCCGGGGGAACTGAGAGGCCAGCCAAGTCTGGGTGGACAGATCGGACGGCATCTGCAGCCAGTTTCTTAGGATCCACTGTGGGATGGACCTTTACAAGAGATCCTTCCTGCCTACAGCCATCAGTATCTATAACATCTTTTAATGAAATGAGGATAACGAGTTACAACAACAAATAATTTCCCTTTGGGATTAACAAAGTATTTTTGAATTGAATTGAATTTGAATAGAATTTAGCTACATCTACTAGCATATTTAGCTACATCTACTAGCACATTTAGCTACATCTACTAGCATATTTGGCTACATCTACTAGCATATTTAGCTACATCTACTATAATATTTAGCTACTACATTGTTCGTCACTTCACTGTCAGAAGAACCGAGTCAACCTGAAAAACTCTGAGGTGTATCAGTATCTACAGTAATAAGGTCAGTGGTGTTTTGTTAAAACAGGTGGGACACAATCTTATTTGTCTTAAAACAGACACAGAGCCCAGACAAAGTCATAAAGTCATCCATCAGTGAGTTTGGGTTAATTACAGAGAAAATCATAAAACTGAAGATGAACAAATACTATAATGCTGTGTCCTCCATACACTTGAAATCATACCTGATATTCTCCTCACATTGTTTTAAATCCTTTTGATGATCCAGCGTTTCTTCTCCGGTGATTTATTGTAGTCCAGACACAAAGTAGGATGCAGGTTTTCCTCCGTCAGTTGTTTGTCAACAAAGTGAAATGAGCTCACATAGTGTTTTGAGTGGTCTCTTCAAGTTCACATTTTTCAGCCACATTCATCTTAATTCTTCATCTGTAGGTAGATGAAACTATAGCTCTTTTCACAGGAACACTCTTTTTGTTTTGGTCTGTGTTCAAACTCTGTTGTTGTAGCCACTGATTTAGTTTGGTCTGGTTGTTCCTGCAGCCACAAACACAACAAGTACCTGAACTCAGCACGGACATTTTAGTAAACTTTATGGTTATTAAATAAATGTAAACAAAACAAAAACAGAGTTTTATCTGCTAAACTGAAAGAAAATTACTTTCAAATAAACCGTGGGCCGTGCTCTGCTGCCATGGATAACCAATGCTTACTGCTACTTCCTGTCTGACAGGAAGTTGTACCCATAATAATTTATACAGCAGAACCCCAGGAATAAGGTGGATACAGCTCAGTTTGTATCTTAGTCTCAAAATATATATATATTGTATTTTCAAAGTAAACATGGAGTTCTGGTAAGTTCTGAGGGAGAATTTATTAAGGCCACATATGATTAGGTCATATAAATTCTTCAAAATAAAACTACGGTGTTCTGTTCTGTATTGTCCACCATCATGAAAAGCGAGCAGTCGTAATTGTTTTATGTGTTCATGCCTGCCTGTTAGCTAAATATCTCATAAAAACCTCGGCATACAAGGCAGCAGGCCATAGTTTTTATAATTATATGGAACATGGGCCACTGATGACTAAGGTGAAGATTGTCACACTAATCAACAGTTGCTCAAACTGACCCTCGTGAACACTTTTGTTTAACATGTTTAGGATGATGTGAAACCAATTCTTTTTATAATAAACTTTTACTTTTATATAAACTAATTCTGTTTCAAGTCAAATATCATGTGACTCGTCCATAAATTAACTTTTTTATGTTGCAGCTACAAAGAACTTTGGGGTTCTTTTACCTTCTTTCCTTTTGGACAGCAGGATCCCGTACATTTTATATTAAAGAAAAATAAAGAAATGCAATTTTTTGCAGTTAGAAAATACACAGTGAGGTCTTTTTACTATTCCTCTGTGTTTACAACAATATGTGGTTTAGTTGGTAATAGCAATCCACTTTTATTACAAATCTAAATATGGACAGAAATAAAAAATAAACACATGAATTTCTAATTGTTTATGAAAACATAACCTATTTGTGTGCATTCTTTGCTTTAAGTAATTACTAGACTATCTACATACGTTTTGATCTATGCTCTTTAAGTTGTGTGCAATAAAAGTCAACATACTGTCTTAATGGAAAGATTACCAAGATCTCAATGTTGTGAGCATTAAAACATTTTTGTGACACTCCCTTGTGTTTGTGTTTTAGCTTCTTTTTTCTTGAGATTTCTGCCTAACACCAATCTTCTTATTGTAGTCGAGCTGGTTGAAAAGAAATGATTTCTATACTTCCTGTAAATTTCTGAAAAGCTGAGTCCTTTTTCCAACTGTTGACAAATGATTGTTTGAGTCACTGACTCTGCTCTGTGCTGCCCCCTGCAGGTGAGCTGCGGCATATAACCAAGCTGAAGCCCTGGTCCCTGTTCGATGTGCTCGTTGAGAAGTACGGCTGGTCACACGAGGACGCTGGTCACTTCACGCAGTTCCTTCTGCCTATGCTAGAGATGGTTCCTGAGAAGAGGGCCTCAGCTGGAGAGTGCTTAAATCACGCCTGGCTCACGTCATAGCCATGAACCATTTTTCTCCTTCCTCATGCTCTCCCAACTTTCCGCCCAAGCATCGCCCTCTGGTGACCACCAGTGGAACAACAGCGTGAAGAAACGCCGGAAACCACGAGTCAGAAACGATGAAAGATTTCCCTTCTTTACCACTCACACATTACATACAACCTGACTTTACTCCTGTGATTTTTACCAAAAGGATAGTTAAAAACAAGCGTAAGGAGGCCACACAACACACTCGTTTTTTCCTACAAAAAGAAAGGAAAAAATGAAAGATGGATGTTGGCCCTTTTTGCTAGAGGAGTTGAGGCTTTGTCTGAAAAGAATCCTGCTTCTGTTGTGTCAGTATCTTACCTGAATTATAGTTTAACTTGTCTGGTTTCAGTCTTGAGACCAGTGACAGCTGCTGACCTGCTCAGTATTGTAACTGAAGGGTCAACAAGAAGCTTTGTTGCACTGCAGACAGCCCACAACTCCAACTTCCTAAGACAACGGGGGCCTCAAAGACTGAGGAATGTGTGTTATTTTGTGTGAGAATAAGCGTATGTGCCTGTGCTCAAGATCTGCCTATGTACACTGTCTTTCCAGCCCTGGTTCTCCCTCTAACCTTGGAAGAATACATCAGATTTAAAGTTTACACTGGGGGTTTCTTCCAAGAACCCAGTACTAAAACAAGCTCGTCTCTCCCCAACATGCTCTTTGGTCCCCTTAAGGACAAGTACAAAAAAAATGAAGTGCAGGGGCGTGGCATCACACTGATAGTTGTTATTTTAAAAGACACAAACAAAAGGTGTGGGACAATCAGTTTTATTATGGAGGAGGGCTGCTTGGCCAATAAAACGTTTTATTTCATGCATGGAGAGACTGATGGAGAGGCATGAAGGAACTTAACCAACAATGGAAACTGGTTTATTTGTGCATTTTGTTGCTTTTGTTACACATTTTAGAGATTTTAAAGTTTGTGCCCATCTAAGGATAACAGATTTCAGTTTCTTTATGACATTCCTGCATTGTGCTCTTCTCTCTTCATCCTTTGGTCCCAAAAACACTTGTTGACTTCTTCTGCGGCGCGTTTACTTGTTTGTACTACGCCCCATCCCATTAGAGGAACCTCTTTTGTCCCAGAAAGGAGATAGTTACACAGAGGTTGCACTTATCTTTGTTATTGTCCTTCAGGGATTTGAAACATTTGTACATAGAAGTAGAGATTTTGCAACTCAAACAAGCAACTGTGGACAAAGCTTCAACAAACAAGCATCAGTCACACCATCATCCACAGAGGCTGCTGTTGGCTCTTCCTCTGCATCATCCAAGTCAGAGTGAACTCTGCCACATGCTGGCTGATGAGGAGTCCTGCACCATGGCTGCTCTGTGCCAACTCTTCCACCATCCGTTTTTCTGTCAAACAGATCTTAAATCGTCACAACTAGTCCAGTTGCCTATTTTCGCAATAAAAAAAAAGATGTGTATAAGTAAATGGTGAGATATTTTTAAAACCTATTTAATTCATGAAAAATATAGGAAAAGAAAAAGTAAACGACTTCTCTGGTTATCGTGACCGTGACAGGAAATAGTCTTATACTGAGGTGATTGTGTTTGTCAATTAGAGATGTTTTTATTTGTTTTGTCCATATTATTATAATTATTCTTATTAACAGAAAATTGTATTATTTCAAACACAGCTGTCGCCTCTCCCCTCCCTCTTAACTTGAACAGTGCTGCTCTGTTTGGACTAATGATGGTGACAAAAAGAAAACTGTTTTGCAATAAAAGGGTATGAGGTAGGTTTTAGGTTGTTTCCTATTTTGCACCAAACCTTCTGGATCTCACACATTCAGCCATGCTGACTGTTCTTCCTGATGACAAAATTGAGTTTTGTCTGTTTTTTTTTTTTCATTGACAGAATTAATAAAACTAGATTAATGGAGCCTGTGCTGTCCATGTTGTGACTTAATCATTCATTCAAAGTTTATAAAAGGTGCAGTTAAAACTAAAAGCAGGAGGAAAAAGTGAGCATGGATTTGCTTCTGTCCATGTTATTACTACTGATTTAACAAAGTTCAAACCCAAAGGTCAGCTTGTGGGTTCAGTTAGGTATAACAGCATAGTGCGAAATAAATTTGATTCATGCTGTGATTCACATCTTATGTCCTACAGAAAGTGCTTCTTGAATGAATTCTGTTGAGACGAGTTTAAAACGAGGTAACTTCTGTCACAATAAGACTAAACTCAGAGATTATACTAATAGAAGAACAAAGACGTCATCAGTCAATATGAAGATGATCCTGTGATCTACAGTAGAACACCTCACAATCCTGAAAACAACCCCTCTGCATTAAAGGGATATTTCAAACATTTAAAATCTGGTTCTTTACAAAGGTCCAGTTAATATCTTACATGTTATTAATTCTTAGAACCGCCTCACATTTGACAACAGTTTAATGCTAGTCTGAGAACTGCCAGGACTGAAGTTTATTGAGGCCGTTTTAAAACAAATCCCGTCTCAATCTTCACAGCCTTTCATTTCACTATTATTTTACACCTTTTTACATCACCGTCACTTTTGTATCAACTATTTATTCATTTATTTCTGCTTTCGGCTACTCCCTTCTTCAGGGGTCGCCACAGTGAACTATGTCGCACAAAGATTTTTATATGCCACCGATGTCCCAGACCACCGAGCTACCACAGCCCTCTGTGTAGAGCAGAGAGCTGCTATCTAGGGTCCCTGGGGGAGCAGATGATGGGAGTTAAGAGCCTTGCTCAAGGGCCCAGAGTGGGGCAAATGAGGGTGGAGACAGGTGTGGGCCTCCATTTGTTCTTCTATGTGATGGTTCTATGAATAAAATAAATGTTTTATAACATGTTAAATTGACAGCAAGTTAAAGGTCTATGAATTCACAGTAACTGAACTGCTACCTGCACACTCCATCCCAAGTGCTGAAATCGCCTCTCATTGTCATAGTTGTGTGATGAAGATTGCATAATTTTGTTTACAGAGCAGCTTCTTGACACAAGGCCTTGGCCAAAGTATTTTTCACAGGTGCCAAGTATTATGTGATGAGTCAGGAGTTTGTCGGCATTTTTGTCAGTGCACAAATGCGTTCAGACATTCAGCTGTACGACTCTTCAAACACTAAATTTGTCAAATGGCCAAAAACTCCTGGATGGAAATTGTGCAGACATCGTGCACGGAACAGTCTGCTGAAAGGTGTGGCGCTTTCTTCAAGATAGATTTGTGGCCAAACGGTGGATGCAAGGACGGAGTGGAGACTCTGACAGGAAGAAGCCTGTGTGGTGACGTATACTGCAGCGGGAGGGGTTTCACAGGAGCTCTGCGTCTTTGTCTCGTGGATATGAAAGGTGTGTGCAAAAACAAACATCCCGCAACCACGTGACTATTAGTCGACTGTTCGGCTTTGGATGGAGTATGCTGGACCTTAAGATGGCTGCATTCCAATATAGTTCTGGTCTGATTTGTACTAGTTGCTAGCTTGTCAGTCTGGTCTAACTCCATTTCTCCAGACTGAGACCATTCAAAGAGCTATCTACAACAGGTAAGATAATAACTGTTTATGACCACATATATACAGCACTCCTTTTAAAAATGTCTAAAATATATATATTTTTTTTAGAGGATGTATACGTGACCTATTTGCACACATTACCTATGATAACTCCTGTCTGTGTTTCGGCCGCTCGATGAAGTTCAGCCTCGGATCAGAGAGGCACAGTTCTTGAGCAGAAGAGGTTTGGCCAAATCCAGGATATCCAAGTTGGGATCGAGAGAACGGCCTAAACCCTCCAGCACCATGATGGCAAACACAATGAAGGCAAAGTTGCTCTCCAGCTTTACCTAAAGAACAAAATCAGTAGCAGCAATCAGCCATTCAGATGTACATTCATTTAGCCCAAATTATTCATTTCTTCTACAGGAATACATCTAAAGAAAACTGTCACACATTTAATGCTTCAATTTGATATTGTAGTAACCTAAGCCTCAGGTCAAAACCTGACCCTGAGGACCTTCATGGGACAGGAACTGTTATTTCATTGATTTGAATCCAGAAATACAAATTAAGCTCATCCAGAGACTTTCTAATTGTATCCTGCACTAATCAATTGAAAGAACACTCTTTTTTTATATTGTCATTACTATTTTTACAAATGTCTTGATAATCAAAAGGTGTTTAGTTCAAACCATTTTAAATGTTGAAGTGAACTACTCATTTTAAATCAACTGTGAAACAGTATTAATGAATTTTTAATCCTCATTCAAAGTAGAAATCAAGTTAGATGTCTGTTACAAAGTAATTATGCATTTTTGATCTTCTGTCTGAAATGAGAAGGAGTGATTTCGGTCAAAAGTCGGAGACAGTCGTGTAGTGAACTTAACCTGATGTCAAGACTAAGCCTAAGGTCAAAACCCTTGACCTTAAGAACCTTGTGGGACAGGAACTGTCATTTCATTGATTTGAATCCAGAAATACAGGTTCACCCATCCTGAGACTTTCTTTCTTGAAAATTCAAGTGGAAGAACACTCTCTTTTCTATTATCATTACTATGTTACAAATGTTGATAATCAAAGTGTCTTAGTTCAAACCATTTTAGATGTTGCAGTGAACTAATCGATTTTATTAACTGAAACAGTGCAATGATTTTTAATTCTCATGCAAAGTTAGAATTCATGTTAAAGCTGTTACAGAGTAATTATGCATTTTCTGATTTCTGTCTTTGAATGAGCAAGTGTGCGTTTTTCAGGGTCAGGAGTCGAAGCAGACATGTGTTGGAACAACTTTCTTGTTTACATCCTCTCAGACGTAAACAGAAGGAGTTGGCACCTGTTTCTAAAACTCGCCAAAACAAAACTCTCTATGTCTCTGAGAACATTTCTGATCTGTTCCATAACAATTCTTGCTGTCTTCTAACCTCTTACGTCACAAAACACACCCCGTCTGGTCGGTTCTGACCAATGGGAAGACTCCCAAATGAACCGGGAAAAGAGCTCTTTAAAATGTCGGTACTTCCTGGTCTACACAGTTCTGTGGAGTTCTGTGGGTTTGGAGAAGTTCGGCGGTGCGGACAGTTCTGATATGTCCTAGTGCTGTGCAGGCTGTGGGAGCCGGGAAGACCCTGACATGACCACAGAGCTCTTCCGAGTTTCATGGGATTATAACATTTTCCACTAAGGTGAGCTTGTGTCGGACAGAGCCTCGCCACTACTTCGGACGATTCACAGCATCCTACGGAGACGCTGAAAGGGTGCGTTAAACGGAATCTCGCCTGAGACATCTCCAGGTAAAAGAGTCGATTTCACCACCTAAGTGTACTGTAAGGAAGAAGCTGAAGAAAGCCCGGAGAGTGCCGTTCTGTTCAACACTCTCCCTCAAACACCATCTTTCACCCCCTTTAAACTTCCTTCCCATCTTTAAATTCTTCTCTCAAGTAGAAATTCTTCCAGATATTTTAGAAATGTCTGTGTAAAGTGCTCATCCACCGCCGTGTAGACAATTAAACATAATTGTACAGTTTTCATAAATGTCTGTGGTGAAGCAACGGAAAATCATGGCCGTATGGTTTTCCTGATTGATTATGTGTTATTTTCATATTTTGCCAAATTAATGTAAATGTTTGATGTTAAACTTTGATTCTGTAAATAAATGACCGCATTCATTTTGATGGGTCAAAGATAAATGACGTCTCACGTTTGCATTTCATTAAATTCAATGCACGTTTTATTCAGTCCAGAAAAATGAGGAATCCGTGTTAATTGATGAATATATCTGAGCATCTGTTCATCTACATTTTGGTGGCCCGTCACGTGTTCATAAAATGGACTGTGTATTCGTGTAAAGATTGATTTTACGTGTTGGCATGAAGAAAAATAACAGTTGTCAGCTGCGTTGAACGCAGCGTGCTGGAGCTGCGTGCTTGGAGCAAAAACGCTGCATGTTCCGCTAGTGATGTTTTTGAAGCTGAACTTGTGAGTCATATGTCTTGTGAAAGCTGAAATTGTACGCCTGTTATGGTAACTAAAAGCTGGGTTTGTGTGGAAACGCTTTATTCTGTTTAAAGGCGGTCCAGACGTGGTTCTGGTACCGGCTTGGTTCTGAAAAGGTTCGGACGAGTTGTTTAAATAGCTAGAAAGACGTTTTGAGACCGGAGTAGCAGACTCCGTGCAACTCAGAATTGATTCGTTACAATTTTTAACAGAAATGGTGCATTTTGACAGTTTACAAGACGAAAAGTTGACAAACTTATTTCAGGCTAACAGTAACATGCTGGTTGCTGAAAACGCTTCGTGATTGGTTGAATTGGCTGCTGTGAAGCGTTCTGATTTGCTGAGAAAGTGAATGACGTGCCTACGTCATTTCCTCTCACCCCCGTGCTGCTTTGTGATTGGCGGATTCAGTCACGTGACCCGGAAATGAAAACTCGTTTTCATAGGGAATAAAATCTGCTTTTTAAAGCTGAAAAGCGCTTTAAAGCTGTGTTCTGAAATGCTGTTTAAGTTCTTCGAAGTCTAATTGCTGAAATTTTGCCACGTTTGAGTAAAAATCCGTTCAGAAATGTTGGTTTTAACCGACTCTAGCCAATGCTAGTTTTAAGCTAACAGCTAACGACCGGACGCCACAGGAAGTCATAGCGACCCCTACTGGATAACACTAACAGTGTCTGAGTTAAAATTAATAAGGTTGTACTGCCATCTTCTGGAGAGACTGGAAATCACAGGTTTTCACTTCGCTTTTAGGTATTTTGAGTGAAATTAAACATTTTTTTTCTGTAAGGCATTTTCGAGTTAATAAACGTTCTTCAAAGCTGAATAATAACTGTTATCTTGCGTTTAAAAAGTTATTAAGGTATTTATACCAACAAACCTTTTATTCACTGGTAATTAAAAGGTAGAAACTTTTAACAAAAAAGGTACAGTTCAGATATTCACAGAATTGATAGAGTTTGCTCATTTGCTAAGAGATAATGCACGTTTAATTGTTAAATCACTAAATAAGAGTAAATATATCAGTAGAGAGAAACTCTTCTGATTTTATTTTACCACCTAAACAATTACATCTCCTATTTAATTTCTAAATAGCAGATAATGGCGGAAGAAGACGTAAACACTGACCCCTTGCACTCCAGAGATGCCGTCCAGACGGCTTTATATATTTTAACAAATTCAATTATTGGTACTCAATTAGGGCAATTAGAAGACCTTGATGACAATCAAAGAGATGAGGAACTGCAGAGGTTGGCAAAAGCAGCTAAAGTGTCAGAGGACACAAAATCGAGCCGTGAACGGTTGGCAAAAATTTCCCTGCTTCTCAAAGCGGAATTGGACCATCAGGTTGCACAAAATGTCATGCTATTCAGTGGATATGAATCTGAAAAGGAGAGGTGTGACGTATTGATGAATGAATCTGAATTGCAGGAAAAACAATTTCAGATTGATAGGGACCTCTCAAAGACTGAGGTGTCAGTACAGGCTCAATCATATGAGGGGAGGATTAGGGATAAAGAACGTGCGTACCAAGACGCGTGTTCAGATAACGATGTGCTACAACAACAGTTGCAGGTCGCATTAAAGGAGCTGGACGTTTGCAAAGCAGAAAAGGCGATGATACTCCAACAATGTCTGAATTTACAAAGTGAATGTCAGACATCACAGGAGCGCCTGACAGCTTGTGAGGAGAATCTAGCTACGGCTACGAACCAGATTTCTGATATGGGGCGAGCTGGTCTGAGACTCAGAGACGAACAAGGTCAGGGCCCGGGTCAGCCACAACCACCCCAGACAGAGGCTGTTACACCTCCTCCCCTTAGCCCCGTTCCAACACCCCCATCTCGAGTGGTAGGGACAGGTCTGCACCGATATGCACCTCCTCCTCCTAACACCATGCCGTCACCCCCACCCCCATCTCGGGTGGTGGGGATAGACCTGCACCGATATGCACCTCCTCCTCCTAACACCATGCTGTCACCCCCACCCCCATCTCGGGTGGTAGGGGCAGACCTTCACCACTTTGCACCACCAACCACACAAGAGAGACCGTTGATACTGTCTCCTTCAATGGATGATTTGCAGAAAATCTCAAAATATGTACAACGCTTTGTACCTGGACCGATGGGGTCATCTGGAACAAAAGCGTATCTCAGAGATCTAGAGTTCAGATTGAGATCTTATCCTAATGCTACGGTTGAGGATAAGATCAGTCTGATACGACTCACTTCGGACAGAGAGGTGTTCACCTTCATCGAGCGTCTACCTGATGCAACGAGAAGGGATTACAACCTTCTGTGTGAAGCTTTGATCAGAGAGTACGACTCCTGCACGGGACCTGCTGGTTTCCCAGCTGCAGACAAGGTCACGCAGGGTAAAACTGAACATCCAAAAGTTTATTACAAAAGAATCTTCCAAGCTTATTTTGGTAACAGAAATGAAACCGGAATGGAAGAAGATGAAGGTTTTAAGTTTGTTTTCAGCAAAAATCTCCACACTGATTTTAGACAATCAGTACAAATGATGGCAAATTTCAGAGAAAAATCCATCAGTGAGATTAAGCAGTGTGCTGTGAATGTGTTTGAAGCATGTTCTCATGCTAAGACGCCCATAGAAGTGTTTCCTAGTGTAAAGGTTAAACCCCTCCCTCTTGAACTAGAAGGACGACGCGCCTCGCCGCCTCTTCCTAAGAAAGTTGAGAGAAAACAGTCTGTTCAAACTAACAAACCGCGTCCTGAAGGTGCACGCTGGGACAAAAAAGCTCCTCTTTCAGAGGATGACAGTGATTATCGAAAAAGGGGTGTGCGCAGGACGCAAAGATATGGGAAACCGTATCATCAGGGGCAGTACGTAAAGG